GTGTGTTGGGGGGTACTGGGAATTGTACCCAAGGGCCCTTTACCCCTGAGCTACATCGCTGCTTTCTTCTGCTTTCTGTGGTGAGACAGGGTCTCACTAAGTTGCTCAGATTGACCTCAAACTTGCAGTCCTTCTGCCTCAGCTTCTTGATATGCTGGGATTACAGGCATTCAACACTGAACCTGGCTACATTTTATTCCTGATGAACCATATATAGTGTCTCTTTGACATTAAATGAACTTTATGATATTCTTTTTGTGACATTCTTTTTATGACATTGAAAGAATTTTATGCACTGGGAGTAGAAGTAGGTAGAAAAAAATCTGGTTTTGCATGTGCAACTCATTTATAAAAGAATTCAGTCCCTTTTTTCTTTTTTCAATTGAGAATTAGACTAATAATCCTTGATTTTATTGATGTTAACCGTAGAATTATTTTAAGTACTTATTGAATGGTAGCTATTTGCAGGCATTATGTTAAGCCCTTTGGAAAATACTTGGAAAAAAGATGTATATTACATTCTTAGTGCGTGAACTAAAGAGTACTAAAGAGTAGAAGATGAGTCCAAAAGACCAAATGAGATGTAAGGCATATACAGATATTTGCATTACATGGCAGTATGCTGTAGAAACTATAATAGAAAATTCAATTAAGTGAAAGAGAAAAGAATCCAGTTTGGGGCAATTGAGGATGGTGACATAAAGGATCATGGAACTATGCCTTGAAGAGTGAGTAAGATTTTTGGTAGACAGCTGAGTAGAAGAGTGTGTCCCTCACCAAAATAAGCTGGTATAGAGAGCTGAGATGATCTTCAGGGAAGTTCAAGTGTACCAGTTTTACTAAGAAAAGTGTTGCATTTTTGAGAAATGGAAAAGGATATGGCAAATGTAAGTAGAGGTAAGATTATAAATTCTCATCTAAGCAAGATCTGAGTGTTATTGTAGATTTTGGGATGTGAGACTAACAAGCAAAAATATAGTCAGAGGGAATATGCAGATGTGAAAGATACTGTAGATTGGGAAGGAGACTCATGTTGAAATATAATAACTATTATACATATCCTAATAGAGGATGTTAGAGCTCTGAATTGGGTAACAGCAATCCAGATGGGGCAGATGAAAAAGAGATTATGAGAAAGAATGCACAAGATTTAGTAAATGGTTTAGGTAAAACTAAGAATCCATATGACTGGCTGGGTACAGTAGTGCAGGCCTGTTATCCCTGTGGCTCAGGAAGCTGAGACAGGAAGATTGAGAGTTCAAAGCTAGCCTCAGCAAAAGTGAGGTGCTAAGCAACTCAGTGAGACCCTTTCTCTAAATAAAATACAAAATAGGGCTGGGGATGTGGCTCAGTGGCCGAGTGTCCCTGAGTTCAATCCCTGCCCCCCCCCCCAAAAAATAATGGATTTTTAATAAAAATTTGCAGATCAAGGGGAGAAGTTCATTTTTGTGACCAAATATAATGAACTAATTCCCTACCTTTTAATAAATCTTTTCCACCTGTATGGCAGCTACGTTAATAAAATAGCAAAGTCAGAATATTCTCATAATTCTCTGTGAATTGTAGTCTTTGTATTGCAGAGCCATTGTAAGGATAGTCATTCTTATTTTTGCTCAGGTATTATGACAGGGGAGGAGGGGAGAGTGTGTATGGTGGAATTAAAAAAAAAGTGTTCTTTCCAAATATCATGACAAATAGTCAGAATTTAGCTTTAGATTTGAGAAAGTAGTTCACTTATAAATGATAACCTATCAAAAGTCTTAATGATGTTAAATGAAACTAAGTTGGTGAAAAATGCACCTGCATGCTAGGAACTAGGAGATAAGTGATAGAATTTTTGTTGCTGAAGCAAAACTTGAACATACAATATCTAAAATTAAAACTGCTGTTCCTTCATTCTCATAATTTCAGTAGTTCAGCTGTGTTTCACTTCATCCCACTTACATATACACTTTCTTGAGTGGGAAGGAAGAAAGGGAGTGAAAACAAAAAGAGCTATTTATAATTAGTGCGGAGAAAGCTTAGAAGAAAAAATGAGATGATGCTGTAGAATTGTTAAAATAGCTTTAAAAATGATGATTTGTTATTTTAAAGAGTGCAGACAGTTGTGGGTTTTTGCCCTATATACCATCAGGTAGCAAAGTGGTGCTATCAAATTGTAGACTTCAGCATGAAGGATTTCACTGTCAGGTGATCATCACTAGAAATAGGTTAGTAACTCTGATATCATGTATCATATTACTTTATCACAATGAACAGTCTCCTTTTGTGTTACATTTTGAAGTGTTTCTATTTGTTCCTTGTAATGATTTGGATTATATATAATTATAGTCCCCTTTATCTGAAAAGCACACATTCTATGACCCCTCTGGGAGATGCCTAAAACCAAGGACCCATGGGAAAAACACTGTGTACCTATCCCTGTGTGTACTGTTTTGTCCTTTAAACCCATAACACAAATCTAATGCCTTTACCAGCTTCACTAAGCACTTGACTCAACTGTGGCTATAACTTTTGCAGTTTGAGGTGCAGCAGCAAAACTAGTATGAATTTCTTTTTCCTTCTTTACAATGTCATGGGTAGATTTGTTTTTTATCATAGGTCTTAGCAACTTCAGCATCAAGTCAAGAACTTTCACCTTTTCACTTAAAGAAAGCAGTTTATAGCTTCTCCTTTTTGTGTGTGTCTTAATTGCCCGCAACACTACTCCTGCCCTTTGGGATCATTATTAAGTAAAATAAGGACTACTTCAACACAAGCAGTAAGATACAGCAAGTTTATCTGATAACCAAGATGACTACTGTGGGAGGTGTATGCAGAGTGGTCCCACAAAATGAAGGGGATGATTTAAGTCCTGGGTGGTATGGAGTGGGATGACCAGAGATTTTATTGTGCTATTCAGAATGGTAAGCGATTTAAAACATATGAATATTTTCTGACTGCCATTGACTTTCAGGCAACTGAACTCCTGAGACGCAAAACAATGGATAAAGGGGACTACTGTATTTAACTGCTTTCTGTTACTTTAATAAAACACTTGTGGCAAGGTAATTTTAAAAATTTAATGTAGTTTATAGTTCCAGAAGTTTAAAGGCCAAGACTAGGTGGGGTGGAGAGCATTGGTTAGATCTCTGGCAAAGGCCCAAAGGTAGATGGCTTCATGGCAGGGGCACATCTGAGAACAAGAGACTCTGCAGTCTCACAGTCGCTTCCAAAAGCATGTGACTGACTTCTTCAAGATCTCCCACTTAGCCAGGTGTGGTGGTGCACACCTGTAATCCCAGTGGCTCCGAAGGCCGAGACAGGAGGATCAGAGGATTGAGAGTTCAAAGCTAGCCTCAGAAACAGTGAAGCACTAAGCAACTCAGTGAGACCCTGACTCTAAGTAAAATACAAAAGGGGCTGGGGATGTGCTCAGTGGTTGAGTGCTACTGAGTTCAATTCCTGGTACCCCCCCTCACCGCCCCCCCCCCGCCCCCCCAAAATCTCCCACTTAATGGTTTCACACTGTTTTCTAATGCTACATCAGGAGACCAGGCTTCCAGTATTGGAACCCTTGGGGACAAACCATAGTGAATTGCCTTTGGAATCATGAACTAGGCCAGAGTCAGGGTGAAGATTTTCTGGTTCTGTATTACCCTAAGTACACTAGTGATCTGTGCTTATAAAGAAGATTAATAAAGAACCTTAATTGATCCCAGTTAAGTCAGGATCAATCAATTGAGGAAATTGCTGAGTTTAAACACATTAAACAAGATTTTTATTATGGTGGCAGTGATGGAGGGGAAGATGTTTCTGAGACTAATATGCTAATCTGATTGGCCCAAGAAGAAACATATAGGATTTCACAAACTTATTTTACCACGAATTCTTGTTTCTGTGGAGTCTTTTTCAGATTTATTGTTAACTCAGAATTCAAATGGCTTGAATTTACAGACAAATAGAAAGTAAATTAAATAGTTTATTCAAAGCTTACTTGAAGAACTGGATTTGAACCAAGGTCTTCTACCATATTGTATTTCTTTCTTTTGCCCCTTCCCCCCAGATGCAGAAAAGTCTCTTCAAACTATATGGTATTCCAAGTTAGATTTGTCAATTGTACATAAAAGGGTTTGAAGAAGAAATAAAACTAATTACTGAATTATTTTTAGTAGATTTTGAATTGGCATATTGACTTTGATGAAAATAGTAGGATTGAAACAGCCAATGAGCATTTGACATTAAAGTTACAGTTTTGCCATTTGGAAATTAAATTTTTTGCAAAACTCAGCAGTTTTCAAATTATAAAAAGCTCAAAAAGTGCAGTAAAGTGTATATAGAAAACTTTCCTACCTTCCTAGACCAGGATTGAAGAAAATGACTCTTTATGATTTAGTGTCTTGTTCCAAATAACATCTCTGCAGAAATAACATGTATCTTTTTTAAAAAATGACATAGATGGCATCATGGTACACATATTGTTCTTTAGCCTTAACCTTTTACTCAACAGTATTATGTGCTCATCTTCCCACATAAATACATGTAGAACTAAACAACAACAACAAAAAAACTTAATGACTTTATAATATTATATTATTTGGCTTTATTGTAATTAATGTAATCATTGGGATTAAATGGACCTTAGGGTACTTATGATTTTTTTTTTTTTTTGTTAACCAAACGGTACTATGATGGTCCTTTTTTTTCTTTGAACTTTGTGTAAGTTGTTTATAGTAGAATTCTTGTAGAATTGCTGAAAGCTTTATAGTTTGGAAATAAAAGAAATGGTAAATATCTGAGTAAATATAAAAAAAAGAATTTCTGGGTCAAAGAATATGCAAATTTACATTTTTGTATGTATTGCTAAACATTATAATAATGTCACTGAACTTTAAAAAACCTATACTTTTGTAATGGATCACAAGATATCTTACTTTGTTAATTTTAGAATTATTGAGAGAAATTATAAATAGGTGATAATGATGATCTTGCTCTCCCTATTCATTTTCCCTTCTTTATAGAGCAAATTATTTATGGAAGGATTTAGAAGTCTGAAAGAAGGTGAACCAGTGGAATTCACGTTTAAAAAATCTTCCAAAGGCCTTGAATCAATACGGGTAACAGGACCTGGTGGGAGCCCCTGCTTAGGAAGCGAAAGAAGACCCAAAGGGAAGACACTACAAAAAAGAAAACCAAAGGGAGACAGGTAATCTTTATCACTTGGCTAATTTATGAGTTTGTTATATTTGGAAAAGCATTCTAACATTTCCTTATTTTTATTATATTATTGGACTTCATCTAGTACCAAAAGAAAACACCATTACTGTGTAATTGAAGAGCAAATATCAAGAATATAGTCAGTTCTGCAATTTGAATTATCTGCAGAGAGTGCTAAACTGAGCATTTGGCATGAAACACTTCATAGTCCCTTGACCACCAAAAAAAGTATAGTTTTTTTTTTTTCACCAGACTGTTCTGAGACCACACATAGGGAGCTGCAGTTCCCAGTAGACAGAGGTTCTCTTCATACATCCAAAATTTGCCAACACTTCACCTGTTTTTTCAGACGAAAATATACTGATGGTTTTGTTTGTTTTTAAAAGCCAGTTCACATATGAAAAATCCAAACAACATAAAAAACTAAAGTAAGTAAAAAAATAATTTGAAATCCTAACTATAGGTGAGAATCATAAAATATATGCTGTTTTGAAACTTGTAAATCTTTTCCACTTAATAATATATCAGACTCTTTCATGTCAATCATTAACATTTGCATAAATTTCCACCATATGGACATACCAGAATTTAATTTAAATGAACAATACTATGTTAATGGGTATTTAGGATAATTTTAGTATTTTGAATTATCAATAATAGCACTGTGCAAGTCGTTTCATGTGCAGTTTTGAAAAGTCTGATTGAATTCTTAGAAGAAATATTTAATAGAGAAAATTTTGGATTAAAAAAATTGATGCTTTAAAATGTTTGTTGTCTATTTCCCACCTGCTGTCCAGAAGCATGAAGGCCAAAATACAGCCCCTCCAAAAGTCAAACAGCTCTTACCAAATGTTGTCATATGTTTAATCTTAAGAAATTAAGATTGTTCCACTTTGCATCCTTTGATGACTTTAGAAGTTGAAAGATTTTTATGTTAGTATTCATCTTCAATTTTTATTCTACAAATTGCGTTTTTCTAATTCTTTGACCTTTGATCTATTGATGTTCATTTGTTATTACTGACTTGTAATTTCTCTGTATATTTAGGATGTGAATCTTTGGTCTCACATAAAAAATCAGAAATATTTTTCAACTAACGAAATATATTTTAATTTTAATGATAGTGTTTTTTAAAAATAGTATTGAAGTTTTGAACTTTTATAGGAACATGTTTGTGACTTTCTCCATAATACTATCTGACTTTAGTTGCTATCTACCTTCCAAACTACAAATTTAAAAATATATTATTATGGGGCTGGGTGTAGCTCACTGGTAGAACATGTGCTTATTAGCATGTGTGAGGCCCCAGATTTAATCCCCCAACACACACACACACACACACACACACACACACACAAAGAAAGAAAGAAAAAAGCACACTATATACATCAATATTTTCTCATACTATTTTTGTTAATTTACCTTTTAAATATTACTCTCTCTCTTCTCATTATTTTTGTTTTTGAAGAGAGAGAAGGCTATATGGATCTAACTTTTCTTTCCCTTCCAAACAGCTAGCTACTTATCATTACTGCATTTATTTCCTGGTCAGTATTTTCTTAATGATTTGAAAAGCTCTCCAGTAAGAGAATAAGTTATTTCTATCCCACATTTTTCAGAGCTCATTTTGTACTAAAGAAAATCGATGAATATGTTTGAAAGTTTAATGATACACTTAACTAATTGGAGTGGTTTTTTGCTCCCAGAGAGATGATAATGACAATGACAATAATAAAATACAAGTAAAGCAAAGTAAAATAAAATAAAACAATCCTTTATTTTTTATATTAAATGTTTAAAAGTATAGTTCTTTTTTTTTTAAATTGGTACTAGGGATTGAATGTTGGGGCACTTTACACTTGAGCCACATCCCCAGCCCTTTTTATTTTTTTATTTTAAGACAAGTAAGTTGCTAAGATTAGCCTCAAACTTGTGATCCTCCTGCCTCAGCCTCCCAAGTCATTTGAATTATGGGTATGAGCTACCTCGCCTGAATAACAGTATAGTTCTTAATGCCTTATATGTTTTCTTATTTGGAATCAGTAAGGGGGAGGATGGTGGAGGCTGAGAGTTAAAGCATAAGACAGCAAGTCATTCCTTCATATAGGGGTTTGTCAATCATTGGAAGAACTTTGATTTTGGAGGAAATGAGAAGTCACTGGAAATTTTTAGGTTAAAAAGTAGTGTAATATGACTTACCTCCTTAAAGTATCATTCTGGCAGCTGTGATTACAGCATAATTTGAGAGGTAGGATTGGAAACTGAGAGATCATTAACGAGGCTTTTCCAATGCTGTGGGAAAGAGATGGTGGTGGTTTGGACTGGGATGTTAGCTGTAGAAGTGGTGAGCGAAAATTCCAATATGTTTTGAAGGTGGAGTCGGCAGGATTTACTGGTGGATCAGAAGTGGACTGTGAGAGAAGAAGAGTCCAGGATGACTCCAAGGTTTGTTTGGTCTGGGCAACAGGAAAGGTGGAGGGAGCATTTACCAAGATGGGGAATACTGCAGAAGGAACAATAAATCAAAAGTGTAGTTTTGGATATAGTTAGTTGGAGAGACATAATAACCATCCAAGTGGAGATGTAGATTAAGCAAATGGATTAAGCATATGGAGTTCTCTGCCTGGAGATGAAATTATTTAGAGAAAAGATGATACTTGCAGCTATAATATTAGATGAGATTACCATCAAAATAAGTATATATAGAAAAGAGGACCGAGTCCTGAGCATGCTAAGCATTGAGAAGCAAGAATAGCAAAAGGCATGAAGGAGAGAAGCAGGAGGAAAATCAAGAAGGGATTTTGTTTTAGAAGGAAAGAAACAGTTTCAAAAAGGGGAGATTATCAGGGATGTTCAGTGGTATTATGAGCAAGTAAAATGACCACTGAAACCTGAACTGCTTAGTAACACACAAGTCAATAGTGAAGTTGGCTGGTTTGGTGAACTAGTGGGACTTAATGCCTACCTGGATTGTGTTCAACAGAGAATTAAAGGAGAGGAAGCAGAGACAGCAAGTATAACCTATAAGTGACATTTACCGGTAAGTAGGCTGTAAATGAAGCCATAGCCAAAGGGAAGAAATTATAGCATGTTTATGTGTTGATGGGAAATGATCTAATAGAAAGGAAAGATTAAACATGCAGGGGAGAAGAGGACAGTTGCTCCAGTGATTTCTTTGGGTAGAAAGATTGGGATTTAAAGCAAACTGGGAGAGCCTGTTGTGAATATAGCTGGTTCATTCTTTGAAACTCAGGCAAGGCACAGCCTACAGGCACAGATACAGGTAGGTAGGCAGATACAAAGGTGGGGTAAAGTAAGATTTCTCACCATTTTATACTGTTTGTTTAATGAAATTTGAAGCAAGATCATTTATTGAGAGTGATGGTAAAAGGAGATTTGGAGATTTAATAAGGAGAAAGTATGAAATAGGAAAATAGAAAAGTGAACACATTGTGGAAAAGAGGAAGAAAGAGTTCCAAGCCATACCAAAGATCCACTTAAAGTTAGTGGACATGAGTTTAAAGTCAAGTCAGTTGATATGATTCTGTTTTCTCCTTCGTTGACTTCATGATTATGGATGTGAAATAGGCATTAAAACAGAATTATCTACAGTTGGTAGGTAAACTAGTTTTTTTCTAATTGAGAAAGAAAAGGAAGAGAAACAAAGGATTGGAAGGTGAAGGGAACAATTGTAATGATGGAAAATATGAGCAAAACTGGGTAAGGAATGAAGACATTGAAAAGGTATTAGGCTCATGGACATAGGTTGCAGTGGGGTCAAAGAATTATAGTTGGGATCATAGAAGGAATGACCTAGCAAGACAGGAGGGGGTGTTGGTCAAAGGTGAATTACTGCGCCAACCACTGACATTAATTGCTTGTCTTTATTGTGGTTAAAGCTTTGATACGTTTGATATTTAATGATTTTCAACTATCTGTTTAAAGTTTAGGATGCCCGTGATCTTTGTCACTCTAGTTTTCCATGTGCCACTTTTTATAATCTGTAATAAAATATTAAAATAAGCATTGTGACAACTGAATAGAAACTGAAATAAATAGAAAACAAGGTTTGATCGTGTGGTGTCTGAAAATGGGTCTTTATCAACTGATGGCTGGAACAGTTAGTTACCAAGGTACTGATTTGTTCCCTGAATCTTTAAAAGGCTTCAAAGATCTTTAATGACTTTCTTGAGTTCTTCTGTGGATATTAACCATATCTATTTTCTGAAACAGTTCTAGTAATGAGAATAAAATTATATTTTGATTCATACTTCATGTTTATTAGCATAATTGTATAAAGTATCCTAAAAAATCTTATTCTGGATTCTCTAGTTATTGTCATATTCATTATTTATTTTATTGTATTTCAAAGAACAAAGTCTTGTATTAATATGTTACACTGTTTTTTCCTAATTTATTCTGTGATTATTCTTAATATTTCCTTTCCATTCATTTTATTTTTTACCAAAATTTAATGAATGTTTGTCAATGGGTATGCACAGTCCACGGGTCTAAAGAGTTACATGGGACTGTGGTAGAAATTTAAAATAGGGCAGATGCTAAAGGAAATGTTACTTATTGTCATCATCTGATCAGTCTCTTCCTTCAAAAATGCCTTAGCGTATTTCTCTGCTTCTTCCCTCTGTTGGAACAATTTCATGTCTTCCTTTAGATAATTTACCACTCCAGCCAAGTTCTAGTTTGTTTTAGTCAGCTTTTTCGTTACTGTGACCAAAAGACCTGGCAAGAATAAATAGAAGGGGGAAAGTTTATTTGTCTCACAGTTTTAGAGGGCTGAAAGGGCTCAGTCCATACATAGCCAGTTCCATTACTCTGGGCCTGTGGTGAGGCAGAACATCAGGGTGTGGCAGAGGATGTAGCAGAGGAAAGCAACTACAGACATGCATCAGAAAGCAGAGAGCTATTTTTACCTTTTTAAAAAATTTTTATCTTTTGGATTGAATCCAGGGCCACTTAACCACTGTGCAACACCCCAGCCTTTTTTTTTTTAAATTTTTTATTGTTGGTTGTTCAAAACATTACAAATTTCTTGACATATCATATTCCACACTTTGATTCAAGTGGGTTATGAACTCCCACCTTCACCCCATACACAGATTGCAGAATCACATCAGTTACACATCCATTGATTTACATATTGCCATACTAGTGTCTGTTGTGCTCTGCTGCCTTTCCCATCCTCCCCTCTCCCCCCTCCCCACCTCTCCACTCCCCTCCCCACCTCTCTCTCTACCCCCTCCACTGTATAACCCTGAGGGTCTCCTTCCATTTCCATGCAATTTCCCTTCTCTCTCCCTTTCCCTCCCACCTCTCATCCCTGTTAAATGTTAATCTTCTTCTCCTGCTCTTCATCCCTACTCGGATCTTAGTTACTCTCCTTATATCAAAGAAGACATTTAGCATTTGTTTTTTAGGGATTGGCTAGCTTCACTTAGCATAATCTGCTCTAATGCCATCCATTTCCCTGCAAATTCTATGATTTTGTCATTTTTTAATGCAGAGTAATACTCCATTGTGTATAAATGCCACATTTTTTTTATCCGTTCGTCTATTGAAGGGCATCTAGGCCCAGCCCTTTTTTATATTTTATTTAGAGACAAGGTCTCACTTTGTTGTTGAGGTCTTACTAAATTGCTGAGGCTGGCTTTGAACTCACAATCCTCCTGCTTCAGTCAGTGCCTCATGCATGCTAGGCAAGCACTCTACCACTAAGCCACAACCCCAGCCCTGTTTTTTTTTTAATGAGTTATAATCTGTAGCTATCCAGATTTATTGTAGAGTGTAAATTTCCCACATTTGGCTGACTTCTGGATCCTTTAGATAGGTCCCTTTCATTTTTTGAGAACTTGCTGGTATAAAACACTTTCATACTCATAGTCCACAAAATATTTAAAATAGTGTTATTAAATGATTGGTTTGATTTGCTGAAGTGCTTGAAAGCTAGAGTCCAGTTAATTTATATTAAAAGAGAAGTAAATACTGTTATATTTCTATATGTTTTGTTTGCCTGGAACATTGTTTTTATTTTATTTTGAATGGCTGTATAGTAAAATTAACCTTTTGTTTTGTTTTGTTACTGGGGATTGAACTCTGGGGCACTCGGCCACTGAGCCACATCCGCAACCCTATTTTGTATTTTTATTTGGAGACAGGGTCTCATTGAGTTGTTTGGTGCCTTGCTTTTGTTGGAGGCTGGCTTTGAACTTATGATCCTCCTGCCTCAGCCTCCCGAGCTGCTGGAACATCACCATGCCCGACAACCTTTTTCTCTGAGTATGCAGTTCTGTGAATTTTATTCATGTATGTATTCCTGTATTTGCCAACGTAGTCTGTATTCAGAACGGTCTTATCACCCCCCCAAACCCAGCCTCTTGCTATCTTTTATAGTTATCCTGCCTCCAACCATATACCCTGGCAACCACTAACCTGTTCTCTTTCACTATACTTTTATCTTTATGAGCAACATCTAAAAGGAATCACACACTTTTATTTAACATAATGCCTTTGAAATTCATTCACACTGTTTAATGTATCAATAGCTCATTTACAAAAATGCTGAGTATTATTCCATCATGGGGGTAGAACACTGTTTATATGTTCATCTGTTGAAGAGCACTTGGGTGTTTTCCAGTTGTAGCAGTTATGAACAGAGCCACAGCACAGATTTGTGTGAAAATTAGTTTTCATTTTTGGAGAGATTACTGAATTGTGTGGTCATGGTCATATTTTTAAACTTATAAGAAACTGCCAAGTTGTTTTCCAGAGTGTGTGTACTATTTTTAATCTCCCACCGGCAATATATGAAAGTTCTACCTGCTACACATCTTTGCTAGCATTTGGTATTGTCACTTTAAAAAATTTTTTTATATTAACCATTCTAATGGGCATGTAGTGATGTCTTATTGTGGTTTTAATTCTCATTTCCATAGTAGTTACTGATACTGAGCATATTTTTATGGCTTTTCATGTCATCTTTGTATCCTTTTTGATGACATGTCTGCTCTGGTCTTTTACCCATTTTTCACTTTTTTTGTGTGTGTGTTTTAGAGAACTCTTCATAGACATTGTGGATATAAGACTCTGCTAGAAACATAACTTGCACATAGCTTCTTCAAAGACAAGTCTGTGGCTTGTCTTTCCAGTCACTTAAATACTTCTTATAGAGCAGAAGTTTTTAATTTTGATGAAGCTAATTTTTTCATTTTTATTTGATTTCATGTTTATTTGATGTCATGTGTAAGAATTCTTTACTTAATCCTAGGTCACAAAGATTTCCTTCTGTGTTTTCTCTAGTATTTTAATACTTTTACATTTTCCTATTTATCCATGATCCATTTAGAGTTAGTTTTTGTAATGAAGTGTGAGGCTTAGGTCAAGATTGATTTTTTACCTGTGAATATTATACCATTTGTTGAATATTCTTT